TCGAATGATTTCTTTTAATATGTCCCAAATTGTTTTACCCAGACTATAACTTCTAAACCATGCAAGATAATCGAACCGGACAAAAGTCATCCATTATAATTAATAATAATAATAATAATAATAATAATAATAATAATAATAAAGCGTCTTTATTCATCAAGTTTTAGTTTAAGTGTAAATATATACATATATAAGGTAGATGAAAAGGTGAACTTCAGCTTGTGCTGATTTACAACTTAACCTGTAAATAACATTGAAATATAATAATATAATATAATAGAGAAAAAAAAGTATAAAAAATAAACAGATTTTCAAAACCAAATTCGTTGCATTATATAATATATTTTTTTTATGACCATTGCTTATTGAACAAAGATTCTTTTAGGCGTTTCTTGAAATTAAGCAAGTTATATGATTTAAATTAATTTGTAAGTTTATTGTACTCTTTACATGCAACATACGAAAAACATCTTTTAAATAGAGCCGTGTTATGATTCGGTACCACCAAGTTCATTCGATTCCGCGTAGGAAATTCATTAATATTGGAAAATGTCTTTAATTTGTTAACTAAATAATCAGGTTTCTGTATGAGTAAAACTTTGTGAACTTGGGTTAATAAATGCAAAAGGCGGTAGTTACTGAAAGTCAACCAACCTGATTCTTTCATTTTATTCGAGATATGATCAAATTTTCGAATTCCATAGGCGAAACGTAGACAGCTATTCTGAATTTTTTGTAAACGAGCGGAATCGGATTGGAGTAGGGCTGGACCGTAGATAGAATCACAATAACTGAGTTTGGAAAAAATGAGAGATTCACAAAGTTTAAGTTTGAGTTGTGTGGAAAGCAGGTCTCGGTTAGGGTACAACTGTCTCAAGACGTTGAACGAACTTTGAGATATGGTGGAGGTATGTTTAGTAAAACGAAGATCAGAATCTAACCAGAGACCTAGGTTTTTTCCTTCATTCGTGAATTGAAGAAGAGCATCGCCTAATTTAATTTGTAATGCGTTTATTGTTAATTGTCTTAATTTTTTGGGGCCAAATAACATGATGGATGATTTTTTAGAATTTATTTTGAGGTTGTGAGCTGTAGAAATATCAAGTAATGCATTTAAATCGTCGTTAATAAGATTTTGGGCAGTAAGTAAGCACTTAGTATTAAACGAGTGATATAACTGGGTATCATCTGCATAATGATGGATCACACAATTTTTAACAAAACTATGAAAATCTGCTATATATAGTGAAAACAGCAATGGTCCCAGAATGGATCCTTGCGGAACACCTTGACTAACGGGTAGACTGCTGGATACATCAGCTTCCAAAATAACTTTATGAGTACGATTGCTAAGAAAATTTGATATTAGACAAACGGATTTATGAGAAAAACCGAAAAATTTCAGTTTTTTGCAAAGTGTTGGATGATCTAAAGTATCAAATGCTTTGCTATAATCAAGGAGAACTAAACATGTGACTTTTCCCAGGTCTGTCGCTTTAAAAAGGTCATCCGTGATAGATAAGAGGGCAGTGGTCGTACTATGGTGCATTCTAAAGCCAGATTGAGCTGGAGTTATTATATTTTGGTCATATACATATTTGCTAATTTGATCTTTAAGTATAAATTCAAACGATTTAGAAAGGGTTGGTAGAATACTAATAGGACGCAAGTCAGATAAGCTAGTAGGTTGATTACATTTAGCAAGCGGAATAATAAAAGCCTGTTTCCACGAAAGTGGATAATGAGACGAAGAAATTATTTTATCAAAAATAAATGTTAAATGATTGATTAAATAATTTTCTACTAACTATATCATGCGCAGTGATATGTTATCTAAACCAACGGCATGACTTTTTATACGATTTAGAGATTTTCGAACTGTATCAGAAGAGACAGATTTAAATTCGAATTTATTTTCATATATATTTTCATAGTACCGATCAAGTAAGGCTAATTGGTCATGTGACTTCAGAGTAGTAGGAGCTGAATTAAAATGTTTGTTAATTTCAGTAACATTACTTAAGTTAGGTGGTATAATAGGACTGGCTTTTTTTCTAAGAATTTCTAAGGATCTAAGAGTGTTCCAGGTGGTCTTGGAATTCTTTTCTCTAAGAATAAAGTTTAAATAAGCCTTTTTTTCTCGTCGAATTGCTCCAGTAGTAAAATTCCTTAGGTCGGTATAGCTAGTCCAATTTACTGCAGTCTTATCTTTTTTATATTTTTTTAAAGCTTTGTCTCTTAACGAAATCATTACTTTTATATTATAAGTAATCCAAGGGGTATGCGGTTTCGTAACTTTTTTTCTTACTAAAGGAGCATGTACAGAGAAAAGCTGGATTAAGGAATTATTCAGATGGGAAATCATATCTTCAACGTAATTTAATTCGTAAATTATGTCCCAATTCACGGAACCTAATTCAGCATTAAAAAGATTAATATCAAATCGTGAAAAGTCACGATAGGTTATATACTTAGCTTTTTTTTCTAAAGTGATTGACTCTATGTTGCAAAGAACAGCTTGATGATATGACAAGCCACGGCCTCTGACATCTAATACCTCAACACATGTTTGATGGACATCTGACACAAATATAATGTCGATGAGAGTTTTGCTGTGCGGGATTATATGAGTTGGTTCATTAACAATTTGTGTTAGTCCATAGGAATTTAAAAAATTTATACATAGATCACAACCTCTACTAGGCGTCATAAAATCTATATTAATATCTCCTGAGACAATGAAAAAGTCACAAGATGGTAACAAGTTGGCGACGCTATCCTCCAATTCATCAAGGCAGTTGATAACAGAAGAATTAGGGGGGCGATATATAACTCCAAAAATATATGTTTTTCCGCGAAACTTGGTAGAAATCCAAAGTTGCTCAAGGTTAGGAGTAATTCGCGAAAAAATTAAATTATATTTGATGACCCACCCTCAAAAACTACCCCCCTGGAACAACCCCCTCAAAAATTATTAACGACACCCTAATTTTTTTTTCTGTTCATTTTTGTAGTCGCCACTTTTCTCTGTACAACTGTTTTTAAAATTTTGAAATCGCTCCATAAATAAGTGATAAATTAAATAAAACTGTATGTCAAGTTGATGATAAAAAATACTTTACTAGGTGACACATAATTAAAAAAATACATTGAAACAAGAGAAGGAGAAGACCAGAAATAAATATCAACAAACAAAGAGTAGTAATAACTTATATTAAGTGCTCAAATTGCCCACCTCCCACTTCCACACATTTGTCAAATCTTAACAATAAATTTCTAGTACAAGCAGCTCGAATCATGGCCGGTGTAAATCTGTTACAAGCATGTCTGATTCTATTTTTCTAGCCGGCCATTGGATAATTGGAGAATGCATGGATATAACACGGTTTCCATAAATATTGGCAATTTGTGCATTATGAGCTGGTGCACCATCTTGTTGCCACCACATATCACGTCTTTGATTAAGAGAAACACCTTCCAACAAATCAAGAACGGTATTGAATAAAAAATCACGATATCCTATTCCCGTTAGAGTGATTTCATAAAAATGAGGACCTATAATCCTACTATTGAACAAACCACACCATACGTTTATGCCCCAAATATTTTGAAACCTTGTTTCTTTTACCCAGTGGGGATTTGTTGGGGACCAGTAATTGCATCGTCATTTAGTTTCACCTGCATTCTAGCGAGAAAGTCTAAGCATCTTTCAAGATCATTGGGGTGTAAACCTTGGACCAAGTGTATTTTATAAGGATGATATTTATTGTCTTTTAATATTCTTTCGATGCTACTTTTGCTTATTCCAATTTCGAATGCCAAATCTCTGATAGAAACATGTGGATTTACATGAACGTAAGCCAAAACGTGTATAATATTTTCTTCATTTCTGAGAAGTCTGTTGTGTCCTCCATGATATTTACCGTCAGGAAAATGTCCTTGTCTAAGACTTCTTTCTAAATTGGAAAACGTTCTAACTGAGGGAATTGTTCTATTCGGAAAATGTTCATAGTATAATTGTCTAGCTTGTCTTGAATTCTTGCGACATTCGCCGTAAATAATTATCATATCGGTGTACTCGTTGGAACTAAACACAGTCATTTTGAAATAATTTGTTAGTACTTGACAAACTCTAAATTATTGCAAACTTTATCAAGTAAAAACTGCTAATTTTATCGAGTATTTAAGCTGCACTTAGTAGTATTGTTTATAATGCGCTAGAAAACTTACCATGAATTTGACAGCAAGCAACTTGATGAAAATAAAAAAAAACGAATATCACTTATTTATGGAGCGATTTCAAAATTTTAAAAATAGTTGTACAGAGAAAAGTAGCGACTACAAAAATGAGCAGAAAAAAAATTAAATATTTTTTGAGGGGGTTGTTCCAGGGGGGTAGTTTTTGAGGATGGGTCATCAAATTTTTATTTGGTTCAAAGTACACCGCCAATTATAATGGATGACTTTTGTCCGGTTCGATTATCTTGCATGGTTTAGAAGATTTCATGGGTAAAACAATTTGGGACACCCTGTATACATATTTTTGTAATATGTATACATATTTTTCAACTTTTTTGTTAGTTTCATTTCGGTAATAAAGCACAAAATCACGAATATGAGAAATTTGCTATTGCACTCATAAAAAACATTTGTTAAAAATAATTGGTTCTAAAATTCATTAAAATTAAAACGTGATTTTATGCCATAAGGTTACTCTCAGAGTCTATTATTTTTATAGTGTTTCCATTTTAATATTAAACATCTATATTATTATAATAGGTATGAGCAGTTGAAACATTTTATTAAACACATTCAATTTATCCAATTTTTTTCAATAGTGGTGGACAAAGCCCAAATTAAATTTTTTTAAATTTATACAATTCCTTATACCTATCGGACCCTACTATTGTTTACTTTAAAATGAGGAATTTACAACTTTACAAATCGAAATATTTCGAAATGGTCTTTACTATCTACTATAAACGGTGCAGTGCACTTACTTTTGGCATGGTGAAGGCCTTTTTCAAAACAGCTCTGTTGTGTTGTGGGGCAGGAGCTCCTGGTTGTCTAGGAACAACCGGTTCTGGGGTTACTGTTTGAACGGGCCTATTGGGTTTTACAGCTAGTTTGTTCAAAGTTGCAACTCGTTTATTGCACATCATGGTAACATCTTCTATTCTTTGTACAACCTAGAAAACAAAACCAATCCCAGGATATTGTCAACTTCCCTATGAAATGCATTATTTTCTGTAAGAATATGGTTGTATTTTTTTTTCTGTTCATACAATTCAAGATTATTATTATTTTAGTTTATTCTGGGCCAATTATTTAAAGTATTTAATCCAGAAATCTATATTAAACGCGTAATTGTCTGTAAGGTTGGGGTAGTATTTTTTTATGTTCATACAATCCAAGATTAGATATTTTATTCTGGGCCAATTCAAAGTATTTAATCCAGAAACTAAATGTTCAAAAGCGAAATAATGTATCTAAAATAAAAAACTTACTTGAGAAATAAGCGCTTTAGTTTCTAACGTGTTGGTTTCTTGAAAAATATCCCTGAAATCCTTAGGACCGTTCGAGGTGAATTCTTGCGAAGACGCTATGAATTCTTTAATCACTTTTAAATACTTTTCGGCCAATTCAAACGATGTGGCGCACTGTTCGATTTTTTGAGTGGCTAATAGTTCCAGTCCGTTAGCACACCATTTATTTGCCTAAAATTAACATTTACATTATAATTGACATTAAAAATTGTCATGTTTTTACATACATTGTCTACTCTCTCCATCAATATTTTCGTTAAATCTAGCAATTCCATCCGTTTTGTTAGGCGCTCTAACAACAAATTCCTAACTCTAATAAGTTCTGTACACTTGGGGTCCACGGACTCTATAGGACAAGAATTGATACTTATAAGATGCTGCCCGGTAGAAATAACTTCTTCAGCTCTATCAATATCAGCACTACACAATTTTTCAAAAGCCTTCACTTGCTTCATCAGGCTTTCTACTTTTTCAATGCTGTCACCGCTTTCAGTCATTTCCGACACAATTTTTAAATTCGATTCGAAGTTGATTTGCAATTCCCTGAAGTCCTGTTCGAACCTTCGCAATTCCAGGCAGTGCCTCAGTTTCACAGAATGATTCTGCCAAAATTCGTCGAATGTCCTTTCGGTTTCTTCTAACTGTACTAGTAACCTTTCTACGGCAAAAACATTTCCGCAAGCATCATTAACAGAATAGTACTCCTCGTCGTATGTATAACTGTTTTTTTCCTTAATAGTAGTCAATAGGTTTTCTCCATGTTTCGCAGCTGATAAAATATCCTTCTTAAGATCGGTGTATATTAAACTATGTTTTTCTAACAAATTTTCTGTAGATTCTACGTCATTTGGCAATTCAATCTCTTCTATTGTTTTGGTAAAGCTATCCAAAGCACTGGAAACCTGCTGGGTGACAGCCGAAAACGCTTCCAGCTCAGTCCTTTGATGTATCCAGTCCTCGTGATTGTAATTTAGACTTCCACCTAGATCTGGAGTTAGCTGCCGGCTATTTATATATTTTTGCAATTCTTCAGTTGTACTTAAAACGATCATACGAAATTTGAATTCATCTTTGAATAATTTATTGCTTACTTCCGATAAGGCCTTTTGTAAAAAACTAGCCGGCCTTAAGACGTAAACAACGTGGATTAGGCCTGGAAAATAGACCTGAAACAATAATAATTCATCACCCAAATACATCAATAAACATTCGTTGATCAATGTTGGTATCTTCAAAGTCCAACGGAAGTCAGAATTTCCCTGTTGAACAATAAGAAAGCACCAGGAATTGATATGAAAACATCAAAAAATTTGAAAGGATTGCCTAAAAATGGGTTGTGATGTTATCTTACATATTTAATGCCATCACAAAGTTGCAATATTGGCCGAAGTCTTTGAAAAAATCTGAAATAATACTTATTCTAAACCCCGGGAACAGTGTTTCTTCATATATCCACCTTATTGTACATGAAATTAATGATACCCTAGAACAGAAAAACTGTTCTGCAATATATTTAGATGTAAGCATTCGATAAGCATATTACATAATATTAAAAAGTCTTTTCCGATCCCCTTTTACAACTTACTAAACTCATACTTATGAGACAGGTATTACAGAATTAAAGTAAACGATAAAACTTCACAGTTTTAACCAATCAAATCTGGAGTCCCATCCCATAAGGTCCCTCTAATGTATTTAATATACACGTTAGACCTCACAATTTTTGATTATACCATAACAGTCACATTTACAGATGACACTGTTATTCAAGCAATCCATGAAAATTCTACAAATCTATTTAAATTAGAAGCGGAAAATAAAAATAAACGAAAGCAAATCACAACACATAACATTCCTGTCTACATTAACACTGAAATTCCACAGACTCTGTCAAATATCTAGGAATCCATTATACAAAACTCATTTGGAAAGATCACATAAATATAAAAACGTAAACAAATAGAACTGAAAATGAAAGATTTATATTGGCTGCTAGGCAGCAAATAAAAAGTGCAAATAAACAATTAAATATTAATATATAAAGCTGTAATTATTCCAATCTGGACATATGGCATATAATTGTGGGGATGTACCAGCAAATCCAGTATAGTTATTTTATAAAAGGTACAGTCCAAGATTTTTTGAGCAATAGTAGACGCTTCCTGATATCTATCTAACCAGATGATACATTAAGCCCTTCAATTCAGCAAAGTACCCAAAGGCATCACCAAAGATTGGAGTCACATACTAACACACTATTATAACACTGTTATAAGAAAGAAACAGTAGAAGACTAAATTTAAACTGGCCAATAGACCAAAAATAAGATAAAAGTGCTCTTCTCACTGGATATGCCTCCTCAGGATATTTATTTGTGGAACTTTAAAATTATCAAAATAACACATCCGATTATTTAAATAAAAAAATAACCTCTTGGCTTGTTTAATGATGGGTATACAGTTACTTTATTTCTGAAGGAAAATGAATATTAGGTGTACTTACAGATATTTTTAGAAGAACTGTTTTTACGGAATTCCACTTGTCATTCCGCCTATCTATGATTAAATGGAAGCCCAAATCAGCGTCATGAAGGCTGCAAAAAAGTTAATGGTTAATCTGCAAAAATGTATGGTTGGATTGAAAAGATTATTCTTGTTGAAACTTACGAAGGCACAGATGTTAAATACATCATTAAACGTTGATATTCTAAATCAGACAATGTTTCAAAATTATTGTTATCAGGAAACGTAATAATGGGACAGCCTTCTTTTGATTTTCCACCTGAGATAATGGCATATTGGTGTTGTAGTAATTCTAATACATCATTAACACTCAGAGTTTCAGAATTGACTGAATTTTGCATTTCAAATTCTTCGTAATCATTTGTCGAGTTGCCTGAAATTATAATGTTCTCGAGTGATTTCATTATGTTGAATATATTTTGACGACCAATTTCACCAACAAAACTTAAATTTTATAATTAACACCTTTAAATTACTAAAAATGCGATTTTCAAAATGTTTCATGGTTGACATATGTTTTGGGTTGAAAATAAAAGTAAAAATTATGTTAAAACATATTTATTAAAAAAATACACATATCACATATTTAAATATTAAACAGCCTAGAACAGCTTTGAACTAAAAAGATTTTGTAAAAACCAAGGCAAAGTATATACAGAAAAATCTACATTTAAATAAAAATGCCAAGCATTATTCAGAATTCGGTAAAAAATCTTAAAAATAAACTCAGACTTTGAATGCAGTACAAATGCTACTAAAAGCATTTCAAAAATGTATTCATCAATCAACATTTTTATATAATATGACCTCGAAGAAATAAATGAAAATTTTGTAAAATAAAAATATATCGAAGATAAAGCTAATACATAATATTCAAACAAATAATAATAATTCGCTCTCTATAATTCACCCCCATACGAGTCAATTTAACCCAGAAACTAATTGGGCTTGTGCAGGGAAGAACAGCTATTATTATTATGATTATTATTTGTCGTGTAATAAACATAATATTTAAATAAATAAAAAATGTTATTCTAAAAATCTTACCAAACAGTTTTTTTTTAACGTTCTGTTCACAAATAAATAATGTTTTCCAAAACTTATCAGTTTTCCCAATATTTGCGTTAAAGATAATCTAATCAATTCCAGGAATTATTGATTAGCACTTCATAAAAACAATAAGTAAAATTATCGAAAGCCAAATGAGCCAACATGCTTTACAAAAAAAATTAAAATGTGTAATCAATGCACACAAAAATATTCGAACATTTAGGCATAGAACCAAAAATGTATAAAACTAGTAAAATCAGTCTAAACTATTTATACATACGAGGTCAAATGATGAAGTAATGAGTCTGATTTTATAAAAACCCTGTAGCCTGCTGCTCGACTTGTCATTGAATTGCATAACTATATGCTAGCTGTTTGACAGAACAAGCTTGTGTAAATTTCAGTTATATGTCTAATTTATGATGCATAGTTTTTTTTTTATTGCAACAATAAACTCTTTAGTGTCAGGACATAGTTTTTAAACAAATTGTTCGAAATAGTTTGAAAGTGAAAATTGTGTAGATCTCTCATTACTTCATCAAATTAAAAAAAGTATTATTCTAAATCAGTCCAAATGATAAGTTTTATTCTAAATAAAATAAATATTAACCATTTATACATAATTACATTACTTATATCACAACCTTTTTTTTTTTTAAATTTATCTACATTCTTCCAAAAGTATAAGGAGTGTGATGTTGAGCACTAGCCATAGTAGTGACAATGTTGCCTTGTTCGTTTATTACATAACCAGTATTGGCCAACTGATATGAAAAAGTGTTTGTTGTGGTGTGATTATTAGCATTTTGTGGATTTACAATGTTACCATTAGGTACTAGCTGAGGTACTGGCGTAACTAGGAAAGTCTGTTGGTGATGCTGAGCCGTACCGTTATCAGTAGGCGATGGTGCTACTACCAAAGGTATCACCTGTTGTACTTCGTTGCTAATAACGCACTTTTGCACTTGTATTTGTTGCTCGCGTGGCCTCTCCACTACAGTCTGTATCTGTTGATTCTGTTGTTGTATAGCTTGGACTTGTTGCTGTTGCGATTGCTGTTGGTTCTGTTGCTGGTTACTGTTATGCGAATTATTGGTATGGTGCGAAGAAGAGCATGATTTAGGTTCGACCTTGCAGAATTTGACATGCGGAAATTGCTCTTTCATGAAATGTCGGAAAGTGGAATAGCCCATAAGTTTGATGCCAGGCTCTAAGATCTGTCCATACTCTTTGTAAGCGTCGTGAAGATTTTTTCTAGTAACATCCCAAGGTAATTGGATGGGCTGTTTTGTATTTAAAATATCCCGTTCTCCAGTATGTTGTTCTAAGTACTGTTTTAAGAACTCTGTAGCATGTCTGTATATATCTAAAGAAAACGTATTGTGGGGCTTTTTACCATGATTTCCATGGACTCTAGGGGCGACTCCATGCGTCATCACGTGTTTTCTAATCCTCTTTAACTGATAATGAGTACAGTTTTCTAAATATAAAAAAGCGTCCAGACAAACTCTTCTACCTTGGTATACATACTGTGCTCTAAGTCTCCTCCTTTCTTTATGTCGTACTGTAGTATCAGGATTTGCTAAACAAGCCATTGTAACACCCATTAAGTACATATCATGTTCTCCTTTTGTAAGTTCCGCTATGTTAAGTCGATGTTTATAAACACTTTCGGGGTTTAAACCTCTAAAGCAACTCTCGTCTTGACATTCACAACCTCGTTTAAATCTGTCTTTCACTTGGGACGCGCTTTCTTCTAAACGCGTGGGATCGTTCGAGACACCATCACCTAATTTTTTCTTCTTCTTCACGGGGATTTTCTTTTTATTTTTCGGGGGCGTTTTAGGCTTTGATTCACTTTCTCCTTTTGGGGATTCCTCTGCCTCTGATTCTTCCATCGGATGACCAGTATAAATAGCGTTGATATTTGATTCTGGGTCTACTATTGTGTGACCTTCCCATATAACCTACAAATGAAAAATGTTTAAAATACCTAGAAAAAAGTATGGGAGAGGTAATTGAAGTCTTTCTGTTACCCTCTCTACAGCTGAAAATGGAAAGTTAGATAGAGATAACAGTAAGACAGTTCTTTTTATAAACCTCAAACTCTACAACTACCTGCTGTTCATCCATATTCTGGGTGAAGTGTCCAGATGCAGCAATGGTGGGAAATAATGAATGCGATATGGAAACAGGTGTATGCCACTGAATCTGAGCTTCCTCCTGTCCATCATTGCCAACACTCTGATTCGACTGATAAGAATGGTTGTCACCGAGGTCTTCTTGCTTTTCTATTCTTTCCACGGACAACAGAGTGTGGAGAACTTCGCTTGCCTCTTTTTCGGCTGAATCAACAGCTGCCATCTCTTGAAAATGTTTTTAACAATAGTATTTGATAAAGTCTGGTCCAACAACAATCAGAAACGAATCACTGACGTCAGGATTCTTCGCAGTAGATTATTGCGAATTCCGATCACTAAATTATATAGGGCACAGTGATTTGTTTTGGTCGTTGTTGGAACATACCTTGTATGTGATTAATTAAATATTCAATGTAATATTTCAGAGTTTAAGGGTGGCGTCCTGATATATCTGACAATTTTGGGATTTTTTACTAAAGAAAATACTTATTTAATATTGTGCTTTTCATAAAAACATTATATTATTTTCTTTGTTTATAACATTTCCCGAATTTATTTTAATATTAAAATTAATGCCGGAAAGTATAATTTTTGCCGAAAGCTACATTGAAAGTACTCTCTGCATATACAGGGTGAATCCTAAGTTGTTACTTATTTTAACTGTGTATAGAAATCGTTAAAATAAACATCTTTTTCAAATATTTTTTTAAAAAAACTCAAAAATAAGATACAGAATTAAAAAAAACCGGGAATTGACTTGTGTATCAAATTAAGCTAAGTGAGAAGCCCTTTTTAGATTTTTCTTATAAATCACGCTCTACCGCTTATTGTAATTCAGCCGGGTGTGATTTCAGTAGCGTGTTTGTATGACAACAGTGAACTTGTGGATATGTTGCTTATATGGCGAGTGTCTTCAAAGTGCTGCATCGGTGTTGTAAAGTGAACACTTTAACTTGCGAGCACATCCTAGTCTCAGAATTTTCATTAATCTGGCTTAACGGGCTAGGGATACGAGTGATTAATGGAGAACATATAGGAAGACCGAGCAGACATGAAGTACGTTTGTGTTTCAACACTTCAGGGAATGGTGACAACTTTGAACACATTATATAAGTTAGACAGGCCCGTATTGTATATATTTTGGAATAAATTAATGTAAGTTTTGAGTTTTTTAAAAAAGTTATTTATTTTAATGACTTGTATACACAGTTAAAAAAAACTATCAACTTAGGATTCACCCTATATAGGCGAATGCCAACCAGTGCTGTCACACAAAAGAAAATTTAGATAATTTTTGTAATTTATACTTTTTGATTTTAAATATTTTTCATCATCATTATCTAATATTTAAATCCCTTTTAACGATTTAAATAATTTTTAATACATTGTTACAAAAATGTATTTTACCATCATTTGCTCCTGTGAAAAGAATGTTATGCAACTTTTATCAATTCGCTCATCGACATGCTTCTATAGTAGCAATTTCGAAAACCTTAAATGGTTTTTTGTTATTTAAAACAAATTTATTCTGCTATTTGTGTTTTCTTGTATATATTTAATCTATTTCTCCAAGCTCCCGATTCTGTAGGTTAGAATTCTAAAACTGAATAGGTATATGAACTCCACAAAATCAGTGAAGCTTATAACATAGAAAGGGGATAATAATTTATAATTAGAAACTATTTTTAAAATTGATTTACATTTTTAGTCATAGTGATTCAGTTTATTGAATGAGCTTAATTTTAATGAAAGTATTTTTCATAAAAGGTTTAAATCATCGATATTTTATGACTTAAATCACACTCTATTGATTTAAATATCCAAATAAAAAACGATTAAATTTAAAAATATTTAGGGATTTGAATATTTTTATGGGAAAAAGTAGTTTTAAAACCATTTAGTAAAACGTAAAATATCTTTGATCTTTTAATAATATCTTTTTTTTATGATTCGTGACAGCTCTGACGGAAACATTAAAGTACGAATTTCTGACATTATTAGACAGATTTGCTTCAATAGTCATATTTCTGCTAAAAAAATAGAAAAAATATATATAGTAATTAAATTATATTTTTAATTTTGTTTATTATTATAGTTTAATAATAATATGATTAAAAAAAAACTACTAATTTGATTATAACAAAACATGTTTTCCAAATTTTTTGCTGATAAATACTATTAGAGTAAAAACTTTTAACATGGGTAATCTTGGAATGAAAATAAAATAGTTTTTAAATTAAAATGGGGTCTATTCTGTAAAAATTCCTTTATATTTAACGGCCTTTAAAAATATTTTCTTCTTTACTTCTGTCATTATTTAAACGGATCTTTAAAATACATTAGAGTACTATCTTAAAGAAATCTGTTTAAATAATGACAGAAGTAAATTAACGAATACAAATATACTTTTAAAGGCCGTTAAATATAAAGGAATTTTTACAGAATAGACCCCAGTACAGTACAGGGTGTCAGAGAATTTTCACCAAAGGGTAGCTTGGTACAAATAGGGATAGTGGGGTGAAAAGTATCTGGAATTACTTCCCTCTATTCAGTGTCTCATATCCCAAAAATTCCAGATTTAATATTAAATTTTACCAGAAATAAAGTCAGACGAAGTTTCGTGTAGACACCCAGTATATGACATAGCTTTAATGGAACAACTGATCAAATTTGATTTGTATGTTTTACAATAAAATGAGTTAAAATATTTTTCTTTGTGAACTTTTTAAAATTAACTCAAAATAATTCTTGAAAAAACGTGGTTATCAGTTGCAATTACAAACATTTAAATATGGTTATTTACATGCTAATAGACAATTAAAATAATCTAAAATTGCCAATTACACCTGTATTAGTATAATTTTAATATTAATGTAACTGCTAATTAAGGACCCAAATAATGAATAGTACATCATTTTTAGAAAAAATAATTGTATTTTTTATAAGAAGGAAATTTGGCTCCAAGACCCACTGGTCCACAGAAAACTAAAGCAACAATAGCTAGGACCTTAGCTTATATATTATATGAAAATAAATGAATCACAACAATTCTGTTTATATTTTAAGTCTGGACCTAATTGTTCTTTCAAAACTATTAAAATTTTTAAAAATTTGCGACATAAATGTCAAATTATATCAGTCTTATTGACATTCACATTTCCTATTCAGCTAGTATTCACTGTTATAATACTAGAAATGCTGACTTAATTCGACTTTCTAGATATAGGTAATTAACAACACAAAAAACTCATATGACATTAATATAAATGCACTTATCCTAGTAATTTAAAAGCGACAAAATTATTTTTAATCTTTTTTCGTAAATTTACTTTGAAATCATATTAGTTTCTATTTATTTCCGTATTTACGGTACATTCTCCATGTGTCTTCATTCAAGATCCCCTAAAAATATTTTGTTTGTAGTGATGCCATTTTAATTAAGACATTTTTATCTGTATACCATTAGGTTTTAAGAATGTATTTTATTTCATTGTTGTAGATTATATTATGTATGTTATATGATTTTATTGTTGTTTGTAAGTTTTAATCTCATGATTATTTATTTATTTTATAACTTTTTTTGACATGCTATAAATTTATATAATTATAAATAACAGTCAAATAAAGTATTCTATTATGCAGGAATGGAAAAGTTAAATGAATGCCTAATTGCTTTACTTACTATAATTTACCTACGATCACTGTTATACAGGTAAATATGCGTGTACCTAAATATATTATTATCTGCAAATCCATAGTTGTCGTAGGTAAAATAATATATACAGTGTCACCGTTAAAGTATGCATCATATGGGAATTTTTTAATTATTTAGTTTACGCAAATTTTAGAATTTATGAACAGTTTTTGCTTCGAAAATAATAAAAAATTACGTCTGCAATTTTTTTCTGTCGACCTATGCCTGTCAAATTTATCAAAATAGATTCAACCAGCGAATTGTAAATAATATTTAGTAAACTCCTAGTCATAAATTTCCTCAATTCATAAAATTTAAAAATTAATCTTCTTACCTTGGGATTTTAATGATGTAATGTGATCAACCCATTTCAAATTTTGATCAATTATGATACCGAGGTATTTTGTTGTTTTTCATTTTAATTATAAAGTTGTCATTTATTTGTATATTAAAAGAAGGCCTTTGTAAATTACATTGCTCTCTATGGATCTACTTTAACACAAAAATAGTTTTGTGGCTATAAGTTGCTATAACCTATCGTCGCAAAACTATTAATAATTTAAACATAGTAAGTAGTATTAATATAACATCAAGTAATTTTTTAAAATAAAGTACATGATCTCAAAACAGAAATAATTTATAATAAATGCGGGTAAAACGAGGGGTAAAATAACAATAAATTAAGGGAAATACTTAAAAAGGGCAGGTTTAAAGAGTATTATCACAAGAAAGTATATCTGTTCTATTTATTTATAAAGTAATGTTTGAGGTTACTTTTGAATACTTTTATTGTTGTTTTTTTTTTTTTAATTTCTGTAGGCAGTCTATTAAATTTTTTAAACCTTTAATAAAAATTGTATTTTGGGAACTTTAGTGATGGCTTGCCGTAGGTACATAAAACTCAGAATTTTTTCTAATAGATCTGATGAAATGGTACTATGTCATTTTTATTTTATAAATAAATATCAGTCATGTTCTGAACATAATTCTGAACTAAAAGCCAATTTATTTCTTTTAACATAGTTGCAATACTCATCCTTCTGTCCTTTATTAATAAAATATAAATAGGCGAAGTAAGGAGCCCAAATATTTTATATGAGCAGGCTTAAGAGGTAAAGGGGCCAATTGTTATTGGATAAATTGCTCGAACAAGTTTTTAAACCCTAATCAAAAGGCGATATAGAATGGTTTTAAATATCAAGGCTTGTGAAAATCATCACATGGTTTAATCTAAGTAATGCAAATGCTTCACAAACCAAAAATTCAACGTCCTAATACTACTATCGGCTTTTGGTCTTTCATTCCAAGTTAAATCATTTCTGGTTTTTGTTACGATACGAGTTTACCCTTGTGGGGCTTTAAATGCACGAATGTTTTCAAATTTTTATTGATCGAATAAACATCCATTGTTAACTAATAAAATTTGTACAGAATTACTAACGATAAGTATGATAAACCTTTGTTCATAAAAAAAGGCCGTAAAGTAAATGCGGCCAAAAAAGTGACACTTTCGGGATGTTAATAAATCC